ACCCTGGCAGAAAAGTCTCCCTCTTGTTCTCACATAGGCTGTGGGCCATGCTGAGGTTTGTCCTGCTGGTCCTCGTCCTTGTCCTGCTCTAGCAACATGCATGCAGTTTGGAAGTACTGTGCCATGAGGCGCAGCACAAGTCCCATGAGTTGGCACTGCTTTGCAGCAACCCTGGCTCCATGCTGTGGCATCCGCAAAGGCAACCAGAGCACAAGAAGGCACATGCCCATTGCATCCCTTTTGCCTCCCATGAGCAAGGAGGCAGTGGAAGAGTAGGTTGTGAGATGTGGCCATAGAGAGGAGTCTGCTGTACGCATGTGTCACAACTTGCTGGACCAAGTAGCCCCAGGATGTATCTGCCTTCTTGGTGCCCTCCCCACAGTGCTTCCGGGAGCTCTAAGTGTGAGGCAGGCTCCAATCAATGTGCATGTGCTATTATGGCCTAATTCAAACTAATTTGATGTTTCCCTGTAGCAGGGACACGCTATTTTAAATTTGTTAAATGGGGAGAAACATCAAATTTAGTAATTTTGAAATAATTTTCTAGTGTAGACGTGGCCTAGGAGTTTTGCCATTGACTTCAGAGGCAATAGGATCTGGCCCAAGGTGCTAACGCAACAGATTGACACTTTTTGAATATACTGCAGTTTGCTTCAGAGAGCTGGAAGAGAGCTTTGATTTCACTAGAGGGGATTATCTGATTTCTTACCACATAAAATAAAGTGGTATTTGGACTGTATTCATCAGTCTTTACTTATAAGAGATGAGGATGGTACTAAGAGTAGCAGAGACAGAATTCAGTTAGCTGACAGGAAGTTCGGGTGATAGAACATGAGAAATAAAAACTTTGCTGCATTTCTGCACAAGGGCTGTGCATACAGACCTCTTCTGAACCACTTAATAGAGAAATATGCATTTGGTCAGGACCTATACAATTATCTTATTTCCTACCTAACCAAAGGTCAGTTTTGGAATGAATTATTTTATTACACGTTGTTGGCCCCCCAACAATTGACTTTTCGTGGAACTGCATTGTTTCTTCTTAGCTAGATTAGGATCTATGTATGTCAGGCATTAGTAAGATTTTGTTTCTTCTATTCTTTGTCTTACTTTATGGTTCATGAATAATCTGGTTAAGTTCCCTGGATGTAGGGTGACGATATTTCCTTATGCTGAATAAGGGATACCTGGTAAAATTTCTCGTACTCAAGTGAGTTCAATGGCACTCAATCAGAGCTATATAGAATAAATATTCAAATTAACATCAAGTTCACTATGTCCCTGTTAAAAAGAAATACAATGTAGCTGGAGTCTTTTTACTAACCTGCTTATCTTTAATGTTTGCCTGAGGAGAAGTCTCACACACACACACACACACACACACACACACACACACACACATGCGCGTGCACGCCTGTACACTTCTCTCATGTGTGGAGGTGGTGACTGATTGACCTAACCCAACCTTCCCTTCCCAGTGGTACCTGGTCTTCTCAAGTCAATGTGTGTGTGTGTGGCGGGGGGAGGGGGGAGGAAGTGCACATGATCATAGGCCCCCCTGCTCCTCAGATTTCTTCTGCAGCTCAGACCAGAGCTTGGCCAGTGGCAGCCTTGTGGAGCTGTGTGGGTGGGAAGGGATGGGAGCTGCTTCCAGCCTCAGGGAGGTGAGGCCATGAGGTAAGGATGACCTGCCTATGTATTCTTGAGATCACCCTCCCAGCTCCCCATCCCCTCCCCTTCCCCTGTGACTGGAAGCAGCTTGTCCCTGCCTGTCTGCAGTGTTGAAAGGCAGCTAACCTCTCTGACCTGCTACTGGCCACCAACATAACCCAGTCATAAGAATGGCCATACTGGGTCAGACCAATAATTCATCTAGCCCAGGATGCTGTCTGTCATCAGAGGGCAATACCAGATGCCCTAGAGTGAGGGAATACAACAGGTAATCCTCACGTGATCCCGCTCCTGTCACCCATTTCCAGACAAACAGAAGCTACAGACACCATTCCTGCCCATCCTGGCTAATAGCCATTGATGGATCTAACCTGCCTATTTATTTCATTTGGTGACCTCTAGTCCTTATATTCTGGGAACAAATAAACAGCTTTTCCTTATTTATTTTTTCCACACCAGTCATGATTTTACAGATCTCTATCATATCCCCCCTTAGTCTCCTCTTTTCTAAGATGAAAAGTCCAAGTCTCTTTAATCTCTCTTCATAGGGGACCCATTTCAAACCCCTAATCATTTTTGTTGCACTGCTCTGAATCTTTTCCAATGCCAATATATCTTTTTTCAGATGAGGTGACCACATCTGTACACAGTATTCAAGATGTGGGTGTACCAAGGTTTTATATAGAAGCAATAAGATAGAAGGGATAGAGATATCCCTTTTTTAATGATTCCTAATGTTCTATTTGCTTTTTTGACTGCCGCTGCACACTGAGTGGATGTTTTCAGAGAACTATCCACAATGACTCCAAGATCACTCTCTTGAGTTGTTGTAGTTAAATTAGACCCCATCATATTGTATGTATACTTGGGATTATTTTTTCCAATATACATTACTTTACCATTTACCCCTTTCTCTAGATCATTTATAAATAGGTTGAATAGGATTGGTCCCAGGATGCTGTCTGTCATCCTTGGGGGACCCCACTAGTTATCTCTCTCCATTCAGAAAACTTACCATTTATTCCTACCCTTTGTTTCTTGCCTTTTAACCAGTTATCAATCCATGGAAGGACCTTCCCTCTTATCCCATGACAACTTACTTTACTTAAGAGCCTTGAATGAGGGACTTTGTCAGAGGCTTTCTGGAACTCTAAGTATACTATGTCCACATGTTTGTTGATACTCCCCCACCCCCAACGAACTCTAGTAGATTAGTAAGGCATGATTTCTTCTTACAGAAGCCATGTTGACTTTCCCCCAACAAATTATGTTCTTCTATGTGTCTGACAATTTTATACTTTCCTATAGATTCAACTAATTTGCCTGCAACTGACATTAGCCTTACCGTCTGTAATTGCCAGGGTAATCTCTAGAGCCCTTTTTAAATATTGAAGTCACATTAGATAACTTCCATTCATTAGGTTCAGAAGCTGATTAAAAGTCACCTCCTGTTCCCTGGCTAAATCAGGGTAGGAAGAGTTGGCTAACCCTGGCCAAAGAGATGGCTCAGCAAGGGAGAGTGGCTAGGGGACAGAGCAGCCCCACATACTCCTGGGGGCAGGACTTAGGATACATCTAGACTACAGCACTTTTCCAGGGTACCGGATGTATCCCAGAAAAGCTCTGCTGCATACAAGAAATGTGTCCGCTTTTCTGAAAAAAGTCGGAAAAGCAGATACGTTTTGTTGGCATCCCTGTAAACCTTGTATCATGAGGAAGAAGGGATATTCTGAAAGAGGGTTTTTTTTTGACATTTGGTCCTGTGTAGACCTGCAGGAAGGGTTAACTACAGGATTTTTCTTTTAAAAATGGGACATCTGATCACCCTAACAAGATGTATTTGATCTGGGAGTTTCATGTTTGCTGATTAACATCCATAAGCATTTAGCTTTGTCAGGACTTGCCTGACAGCAACATTGTGTGAGTTTTCCTTTTAGTTTTCTTGGTTTGTTTGGGTTTTTTTCAGACAGTATGCCTGCCCCCTTAACTACAGGAATGGATCCTCTAATCCTTGTGCAAACAACTTGTCGAAGCAAAAACACGCTCCTCTGTGTTTAGGCAGCTAACAAACAGCTTTATTAATTAATAAATCACAGCATGAGCCAAACGTGGTCACAGCAGAGCCGGGCCCAGTAAGGCTGCTAATACAATCAATCCTAGTATCTTTATACCCTTAGCCAAACAGTCTGACGTCAGGGCATCCAATTACAGAAATCCTCAATTAAATTTGGAAAAACCAAACCTTATCAACAAGATGGCGGACAGGTGCGAGGGAGTACATCTCCTGTCCCAACCAGCCCAATTAACACATACCAATAGCCCATCCTGTAGGCCTCTTCTCACGGGGTGACAGAAAGTTCACTCTGGTCTACGTGCTTGAGAGAAAAGCTGAAATGGTTTCTGATATACAAGATGGCTTCTAGCTAAATATGAAAATGGTTTCTACAGCTTCTACACCAGGCTAGATAGCAATGGTGTCCCTAACCTCTGTCTGGAAATGGACGACAGGAGAGGAATCACATGAAGATTACCTGTTGTGTTTCCTCCCTCCGGGGCATCTGGTATTGGCCACTGTCGGCAGACAGGCTACTGGGCTAGATGGACCTTTGTTCTGACCCAGTCTGGCCGTTCTTATGTTCTTTTGCCTGTTTGCAGGGAGCTGCTCCTGCCCTGTTTGGCTTGTGGCTTGCAACATTAGCAGATTTTGAACACTGCAGAACAACAGAGCTTTGTGGGACACGCCTGCTTCCTAGAAAGAAGACATGTCTCTTGTGGGTGTCCACACGCCACATGTCCAATCCCCTTTGTTTTTGGCCCTCCACCCCCCTCTAGCTCCCTTTGTTTAAACAGGTCCTTGATGCTGCTTTTCATGGAGCCTTTCCAAAGCGGCTTAATCCATCAAAATCTTTCAGTGGCATCCACTGTTACATCTCAGTGAGGAGACCAGGACCAGTTTAGCAGCCTCTTGGGAATGCAGGAAAGCACGTTAAGTGCTCAAAAATTGCCGACGCGTGCAAAAAGAGAGAGGTACTTCCTGCATGAAAGCAGCTAATTGGAACCATTCAGTCTGGAGCCAAATCGGTCGGTGTGTCACGGTTGCTATTTACATAGGAAAGCAGTACTTTCCAATTGGGGTCAAGGCTAGGCGGATATACCCTGGGTTATTAAACCTTTTATCCTGCCAAGTATCATTTGGCTTAGTTCACTAAACAGTGTGCTATTCATTTGAGTGTTGTTTAGTGGGACTGGAATCATTGGGATGCCTCCTTCTGAATGTACCGGACTGTGAGCACATATCTAGCAACCTGTGGAATTAAATTCTTGGGAAACTTGGTTCATTAAAAGCATAAACACATTTGAACCATATAGGTTATAACTGCTAGTTTTAAAAACAAGATTAAGCATAAGCTCAACATGAATTGTTTGTCCAGCCTCATGCTGGCTGTTCTTCAGGACTTCGTAGATTGCTACACCTATCGCTGGCAGGTTCTACTGGGCCGCAGCTGGTACTTTAGCCTCGGCCTCTTAGGATCGTCTGCTTCTGGGCCTGGATTGCCGGTACCAAGCCTGCGCTGATCCTCGTCTACTTCTGGACCTGGGTTTCTGGTACCAGGTCTGTGGTGATTCCCATCTGCTTCTGGACCTGGGTCTCCAGTACCAGGTCTGCGGTGCTCCTTGTTGGGGACAACCTCTGTAGGGACTGGAACGGGTTTGCAGTGGGATGCGTGAATCCAGGTGGGCAATCCTTCGCACTTTACAGCAGTATGGGTGGTCAGAAGGACTTGGTAGGGATCCTTTCACCTGGGTTCCAGGGCAGTCTTCCGCTGGTGAACTTTCACGCAAACCCAGTTTCTTGGTTGTAGTTTAAGGCACAGCTCAGTTGGGGCCTCCTGGAAGGCGTCCTTAACCTGTAAATGATAAGACTGTACACACCTCATAAGTTCCTGGCAATACTTGACTATGCTTCTTTTAACAAGTGTGGCATCAGCCAGGTTAATTTCTGGGCTACTTTACAGTCTCATAGGTTGGCCACATGCAATTTCATGTGGACTGAGTCCAGTTTTCTGATTAGGAGTGGCTCTCATGCTCATTAGGGCAATCTGGAGTGCTACTATCTATGTTAAGCCAGAGTTCTCACATATTTTAGCAAGTTCGTTCTTTAAAATCCTGTTTCATCTTTCTACTGCTTCTGCGCTCTCCAGGTGTCGTGCACAGTGCAGTGCTTGTCTGGTAGAGTAGTACTTTTCCAGTTTTTTTGAACAATTTGCCTAGTAAAGTGGATACCTTTATTCCTGGAGATCACAAGGTGTATTCCCCATGATGGGATGTAATAATTTAGAAGTTTCTTAGCTACTGTGATGTCATCATGTTTCCTTCAGGGATAAGCTTCTACCCATCCCAAAAACAAGCAAACAATAACCAGCACATTATTTAAAAGATTGACATTTAAGCAATTGAATAAAGTCCATTTGTAAATTCAGAAATGGTCCTAAAGGCGGAGGTCTGGTTGCCGGAACTGTCTTTACAGGTTTACCCACGTTGTGGGCTTGGCAGACAGGGCAAGCCAGACAGTAATCTTTGGCTGCTTGGGAGAATTTGGGAGCAAACCAATTTTTGCTTTAGGATTGCCACCATCCCCCCTTTGCCAACGTGCGAGAATCCATGGAGCACGGAGGCAAAGTGAGGTAGCAAGACCACTGGGGCAACAATGTGGCCATCGGAGCTGCACCACAAGTGGTCTGGGCGCAAGGTGCACCCTGCCAGTCTCCACTCCTGCTTTTCTGATTCTGGGGCGTGGTTTCGCAGGAGGGCCAGTTCTGAAAGAGACGGCGTAGGAGCTGGCGATGGTAGGAGAGAAGGGAAAAACAGCAGGTAGAGGAGCAGATTTCACTACATTCTAGACAGTACAAACTGCATAGCCTGCTACTAAAACTCTACTAAAATTATAAAGGCAAGAACCATTTATATAAAGCACAATGTTAAGATTATTCAAGGGACTTAAATTATTCTTTCATTAAAACAACAATATTGTACACACAACAATGTTAAAAATATATATATATCACAATCGACACACACAAGACAAATCTGGACAGAACACAGAACACAAACTTATTATGTCATGACACAGAACCATGGTTTTTTTTTTTTTCCTTCGGTTAATTTTCATATGATATTAGCGCTTCTTGATGATCTGAAAGACAAAGAAAACATTTCTACCCCCGTCGGGGTGGCCCATTATAACTTAAAATACTGCCTAAGATCTGCTAGGGGAACTAGTTACATCTAGTTCCTTACCACTTCTATGGGTGAGTGAGCTGTAACTTTCTGAGAACAAGAGAGCTTCATCGGTACTCGTGACCTTCCACTCTCTTGAATTACCTCTGAGTTGCTAGCCTAACTTATCAGTGGCATGCCTCAGTTTCCCTCTTGTACTGCAGACCAGGCTTTTTTTTACTGCCACAGAAACTCTTAGAACAAGGTGCTTGCTAGTTACTATTCCAGCAAGCAAAAAGGTTTTCCTTTCCTGAAAAGAATCACATGCAATGTTACAGACTTACTTATGGGGGACAGTGCTCCCCCCCTTCCAGAACAGACAGGCAGTTTGCAGACACACACAACCTTGGATCTGAAAGCAAGCCAAAAGTGCTATCAGCTCAGCCTTGAACAGAAACACTGTGAAGTTTCTGGGCTTGGATTTTTTTAAACAATAATTAGGTTCCTTGGAAGACACATTTAACCCTAAGGGTGCAGGTTGTACAAATTTACAATGTATAGATTCTATTCTTTTATGCGGTTAACCAATTAAGTTTCAATAGAATTCCTTATTTTATCTTTAATAGATTTAACAAAGTGTCTGTAACCAAATGTTTAACTTGACTGTTTCATTGCTAAGATGATAAAAAGAGACGACAAGAAACAAGGAGTCATTTCTTAAAGCAGGTTTCCCTTCATATATAACAACAATCGCTTAATTCCGTCCACTCTCCTATGCAGTCACTTCTCACCTTCACATACTCTTTAATCACTTGCTTCGTCCTTCTAAAGAAAAACATTCCTCATTCCTAGTAACTTTCTAATGTCTGTATTTCTACTTTCTTTATTCCTTCTTATGGTTTGTCTTTGCTGAGCTTTACTTTCATCTCTCAGGGCTTTAATTTTTCCTCTTTTCCAATTTGTTAAATGCTTACAGGTCCTTGGACCATTATGCACGTACATGTAGTACACAGGGGTGCTTTTCGGCAGTGTGGAGGGATGTTTAGACTAACCCTCACCTAAACTAACTTTACACACTCCAAAGAAAGAGTCTGCCGGGTCTAGAGTGTCAGACCTTAGCAGCTTATGAAATAAGGGGAGTCGTCACTCCCTCACATATCCGCTGAGTCTCGAGGTTCAGCTGACCCCCCCCCTTGCGTTCAGAGCTCCCTCATGGGAGAGCCCTGGTGCAGCTTGGGATCAGCTCAAGTCTCAGACCTATGCAGCGGCATTCATTCTTCACTCATTACATTCATACTCATTTGGTGACTGTAAACAAACTTTATGGGAATGCAGGAAATTTGGTCAAAGCCATGAAAGTGGACATCTGGCTAACTAAAATTAGCCACAGATGTTTCTGGACCAGAGAGTGCTGGACTAGCGAGGTTAAACCTGTACAGCAAAGTTACTTGCCAGAAAAGAGTGATTGTTTCTCTTTATAAACTTGTAGTGTAACTGCAAATCTCGGTTAAGAACGAAGACCTGTGTTTGCAAAAACCCACTCAAAATTATCATTAACTTTAGTCTTGACATTCACTATACAGTATTCCCTATTCCTAATAGACCCAGGCTATGTCTACATTACAAAGATAAATCTGAAAAAGAAACTTGAGTATCTTTTTCCAATTTACTTCCGAAAGAGGCTTTTCTGAAATTTGGCCCATATACACAGGTCCAAATTTTGGAAAAAACCCTCTTTAGGAACATCCCTTCTTCTTCATAAAATGAGGTTTACAGGGATACCGAAAAATGTGTCCGCTTTTCTGACATTTTTTTTCGGAAAAGTAGATGTGTTCCTTGGACGTGGCAGAGCTTTTCCGGGATACCTCTGGAGTTTAGACATAGCATGTGTGTTATAAACCTAGATATGTTAAGTTACTAGTATAATTGTTTTGGGTCAACAAATCTTTTATTTTCAGAGTCAAATATATATCCTCTAAAATTATGAAAATGAGGCACATGATGCTAATGTATCAAATTAACACACAACAAAATAATTAGTGTAAGCATAAAACTAACTGTCTGCTTGGAGGTAGTTTAAGTCACCCTCAACCCTTTCTATCTCAGATCCTAGAATTCTGTAACATGTTAGGTTTTAGTTTTTAGTCATGAGGAGGAAAGAATTCTTTAGCAAGTGTTAATAAATTATGCAGTGCAAACTTTTCCACATCAGCCTACAGGTATGCCTCTGCCTTGCACCGTAGATGTTCATAAACAGCCTTTTGCAGGTTCAATCCTTAAACTCTATTCAGGCTAGCAATAGCTGTCTGACTCTGTGCAGCACTAAATTGAGCCAGATTTGAGCTAACAATCCAAAGGTTTGGAGGTTAGAAATGGCTTGGATGTCTCAGAGCTTAATGCTGTGTATTGTGATGCACTCACTCTTAAGTAGCAATTGTCTAATAGTGAGTGTAGGAGAGTCCCTTGGCAACAACTATAAAGCAAATATGCCAAAATTTCCAATCCTGAGTGCCTAAAGGTAGGCTCAAGATTCTGTATTTCAGCATCTAAATAAATTTAAAAAAAAAACAATTTTTAAAGGTGCCGGCTTCAGTGAAATTTGGGACTAGACATTTCTTAAAATTATTATTCCTCTAGATAGCCAGTGAACCTTTGTCGAAGCAAAAACACGCTCCTTTGTGTTTAGGCAGCTAACAAGCAGCTTTATTAATTAATAAAGCACAGCATGAGCCAAACGTGGTCACAGCAGAGCCAGACCCAGTAAGGCTACTAATACAATCAATCCTAGTATCTTTATACCCTTAACCAAACAGTCTGACGTCAGGGCATCCAATTACAGAAATCCTCAATTAAATTTGGAAACACAAAGCCTTATCAACAAGATGGCGGACAGGTGCGAGGGAGTACATCTCCTGTCCCAACCAGCCCAATTAACACATACCAATAGCCCATCCTGTAGGCCTCTTCTCACGGGGTGACAGAAAGTTCACTCTGGTCTACGTGCTTGAGAGAAAAGCTGAAATGGTTTCTGATATACAAGACGGCTTCTAGCTAAACATAAAATAGCTTCTACAAACTCCATTGACACACAAGAGACTGCAGGTTTAGGCCTGGTCATTGGGAGGATTGCTCTACAATATGACCTTACTCCATATGCTGATCTGGGGTTCAACTTTCCCCAACACCAGCATCTTATACTCTGCAATGTGTTGGGGACAGGGCTGAGTGAGCAGGCGAGGCTCAGTAAAGGGGTTTCATATTACACACACACCCGCCACTGGACTTGTGGACCTCAGAGGAGAAATGTCATGCAGCCTTATTGTTCTCCATTCATCCATACCATCTGAAGTGGAAATTCCCTTTTAAAGAGGGAATCCTGAGAGCTGTTGCTGCTGTCAGCTTCAGAAGTCTTGAAAAGACTGCTAAGGCAGTGAAGTGCTGGAGAAAATGTAGCAGCATAGGGACTCTAGGCACCTGTTCATCTCCTTGCCTCCTGAGGTTCACAAATTTCAAGATCTGTGAAGTTTGGGGGTCAGCCCAATGGTCTGTGGTGTGTGTGGAGAATCCCCACTTACTTCAGGACAAATTTACCAAGAAAACCTTGTGGTGTTTTCCTTTTTACTTGTCCCCACCCAAAGGGCTTCCACAGATAACACCAAAGCTAATAAATACAATTTCAGAAGGGAGAAAAATACAGACCAGCTGAGAATGGGTGATACAGAAAGAGTCATTGGCTGGGAGACATGAGCTGCAAAGCTCTCACATCAGCAGCAATGAGACCACGCATAGGGACCAAGAGGAGGCCAGGGATAAATAAGTGGGGAATAAAGAGTTGCATGTTTGTGCCCACACATGCATGCAGAGCTTGATTTTTTTTATCTCAGCAGTGAAAGCAATGGAAAGGCCCTGTTACATATTAGATGAAAAGCAGAAGTAAGACTTGGTGAAGAAGGAGGAGGAGGGGGATGACGACGACTTGGTGAAGCAAGTCCATAGGGAAATGAGGGAAACAATTAGGGAAAATTTCAGCTATGTGGCAAAACAAATGGGTGCATCTTTACTTTTATGTTGATGTTTGGGACTTTTAAAACTCCCTCTTAGCTGTGTGATTGTGTGGCTTATGACCATATTTAGTCATTATACAGTGTATTTTATATTTTGAGTGCTTCTCAGATATTAACTAGATCTTATAGTTATTCTAATTAAAGCCTACTGGGACAGAGGAGCATTTCCAATATTTTTAAGCCTGAATCCCAAAGGTTGTGATTGCCTGGATCAGACCCACATCTAATTGTAATAATTTCAAGGAATGTTCTAGGAATTCTGCTTCCTCTGTCAAAAAGAGTAAGATACCAAGTAACCCTGCCAACTGAGGAAATGTGAGGGTAGAGCCTTAACCCCTTTTTTTTTCAAATGAAGCCAGGTGAAAGAAGTGGCATCAAAGGCTCAGCAGCAGGAACAGGATGGGAATAGAATGTCACTGTGCTTTTTTCAGTTGTGAATTCTTGTTTTTTTTGTAAAACAAAACAAGCTAAAGTTCCTAATAACTGTGGAAGCAACACATCCACAATGGGGAACTGGACTGAGAAATGTTCTTCCTTGTTTTAAATACCCTGTCATTCATGAGTGGCTTAATTCCAAATTAGTAGTACATGACAAATAGTTCCTCTATCCTACTATGCTTGTGTATTTCCTCTCCATCACTCCAGTAGAGTGTATGAATAATGCAAGTCTAGTCATTGTAATACCTTGGATACACACTTCTAAAGAATTTATTGCACTCAAATTGTGTAATACTGAGTGATCAGGTGGATTGGGGTAGAGAGGCAAGGATAGAGAACATCCGTCAAAAAGGAGGACTCTCACCCAAACCTGCATGAGTGTCTTTGTGCCCCAAGTTAAAAAGACAGACTTGTTCAGACTTGCTTTTTCCCTTCAGAGTTATAGCCCTTTTAGCACGTCCCTGGACCAAAATATATTCACTCAGCTAAATGTTCATCAGGCATGGACCATAACCCTAGAGCCATCCATTTTGCATTCTTGTCAATGGATTTGCTTCTCTGCTGCTAGCGAATTGTGCAGTTTTCTGGGGCTTTAACTCCTTTCTGATAAACCAGGAACCAAAAGGTTCCAAGTCAAGTGCTTCCTACATCACACATGCAGGATTCTCTTCAGCCAGGTGTTGGTGCCTAACACAGAAGGCCCAATTCTGTTCAATGATACGCTGAACACACTTCTTCTGAAACCAATAGGTCCATGCAAGTCCAATTGAGGGTAGGATTTTATCTTGAATTCCTTTAAATTCCATAATAAAATACACAAGTCCACCAAAATCAAAAGTTTTTTGCAAGTTATGTTTACACCGATAGGGCCAAATTTTTCCCTCAGATATAAACACACTACAATTGTTGTCTTCTCGGATCCTGTGCATGAAACTGAAAATAGACTTGGACTTTTTCTTTTAATACTGATTTTTGGAATTTCAAATTGTTTTGTTGGTGCTGTTGGCTATAATCAGCCAATGCATTTCTGTTTGCTACTGTTAAGGGAAGATCCTTTCTAAAGTGCTCTGCCAGGGTGATTAGTTGAGAGCATCAGGATGTACGGCCTACTGCTTGTCAGCTGAGACAAATCAGTGATACTGGAACTCAGTAAAACACAAATGGAAACTTCCTGATGTAGAGCACAACTATACGAAGAGTCATTGAATAGTTTGCAGGCTCTTGTTTTTCATATGGACAGGCCTTTTTGTAAAGAGAAGGATTTCTGAAAATCTAAGAGCTGTCAAAACATAGCTCAACGCCTACTCACACTTAATCTGAAATATTTAAAGAACAGATTTGCTTTTTGTTGTCACCAAAAGAAATAATTTTAGCTGCGTCTAGACTGGCATGATTTTGTGCAAAATCTTGCTGCCTGTCTACACTGGCCACGAGTATTTGCGCAAGAATACTGACTTTGTAATGTACAAAATCAGTGATTTTTGCTCAAATACTCTGATGTTCCTGGTCAGGTATAAGCTCTCTTGCACAAGTATTCGTGCGCAAAAGGGCTAGTGTAGATAGCAACGTTAATTTCTTGTGCAAGAAAGCCTGATAGCTAAAATGGCCATCGGAGCTTTCTTGCGCAAGAGAGCGTCTACACTGGCACGGATGGTTTTGCGCAAAGGCACATGCCAGTATAGATGCTCTCTTGCGCAAATACTTTTAACGGAAAAACTTTTCCATTAAAAGTAGTCGCACAAAATCATGCCAGTCTAGACGCAGCCTTTAGTGAGGGAGTCAAGTACATTGAAGA